TTTTCCTGATATATTCAGGTGTACAGCAATTATATGGCTATATCTTTAGCTCAAGTTATTAACAAAACTTTATTACATTGTTACCTAAGGCTATAACCGCGCAATATCAACTCTAGGTGATTGACATAGCGCGACCTAGGCTGCCTTTATCGATTGGGATGCCGACAATCGCTTTTGTTGCTAAGCAAACTTCTAGAATAAACTACGTGAATATTAAGAATATTCAGCTCGGCAAATCAAAACGATAAAGTTTCCACCCGTACCTTATATAATGCAAAACACGAATATTGAACTTATCGAGAAAAAAACGACTAAACAAATTGGTACAATTTTTTATTTATTTCTCAATTTCCATATTGAGAGTGTTTGAACTGAATCGATGCTGCGAGAGAGAATATACGACGCGTCACATGTCAAAGAAATATTTTGTGCGGAGAATTTTCGTTTGCACACTCACTTTATGCAATTTTACAATTTCAACACCGTGGTGCTTTTGTAACGAAATAAGTTATATTATTCCATTATAGGTTTTAAAAGATTATATTTATCCTGAAAGACAGGGGAAATCTCTATCTAAGTAATTATTTTGTGTGTATTAATAATTTTATCACGTTTTATTACTATTTAATTAAAGCTTTCGGTAAGGAAAGGTATTTGGTATAAAACCATACAACCAACCTTAACCTCGGATGCCATGGTTTGCTATAAGTGATGTGGGAAGACATGACATTACGACGAGTTTCAGATTGTGCTCATGACATATCCCATTGAATAAATTTGTGATGGGAAAATCAGATTCCCCCAATTGTTCCGAATGCGGTGTGGGCGAAGACGTCTACCATATTTTGATGGGGTGTATGCGAAATGAGCCGTATAGGAGACACAGATATTTCTGTCTTTTTTTTAATGTGAAAAGTTGCCAAACGAGCAGACGGTTCACCTGATGTTAAGCGAATACCGCCGCCCATGGACATCTGCTACACCCGAGGGTTACAGGTAAAAGGTTGTCAACCCTTTTGAAAATTGGGCTCCGGCTACCTTACTCACCAGACGAAACGCGAAAGTATTTGTCATACTTGTACTTTACGCTGGTCTTCTGTGGGGTCGTGGTATTTACCCGGACGGGTCTGCCCATTTGTGCAACAGCCGAGGCTGCTGCGTGGCCCTACCACCGTCTCAAAATATTTCTGCTGCATTTAATGTTGGCTGGCGTTTTGTCTCTGTCTTTCAGCAGAAGCCAAATAACTGTACCGGCTGACACAAGCAGGAATAAAGAACCGTGTTGAAATAATTGTTGATTATGCTATCGTTTAATATTATCGTGTTATTTAATATTGTATTTTGTTATTATGGGGGTTACGTGTTCAATTCTGAACTGTCCCCCTCCATCAAATAAAGAGAAAAAAAAAAAAGAAAAATAGAGAAAGATTTAAAAAAAGGTTTCGGTAAGGTTAAAGTTTTTAATGTTGCAGATGAAACGAGAGGTTTTTGCCGATACGGAAATCAATGTCGTCTAATAATTTGTTTCGTTTTGCGAACTTTGTAAAACACTACTTTAATTTACAGTATCAATCATCAGAGCGGATTTCGTGACGGCGAAGTGACCGCCAATCGAGTAGTAGCGAGTGCCGTTTTTAAATTTTATTGATTTGCCTTGGTTGAATTACTTGACGGGACTAGCTATCATTCTTAATGCCGTGGTCTCCTTTATTCTGATAAACCATACAGATCTGCCCATTCCAGCAACAGAAGAGCTCGAAGACAGTTACGTGGCCCTACCACTATTGTATATATTGACAGAAGCAAACTCATTTTCTTTCAACCAATCTGCAAAGAGATATAATCCGATATCTAAGGTCATTGTTTCAAGGGAACACGATGAAATTGTATGAGTATTACAATACAGGCAGAAATGAGAAACTTATTTTACGAAGTGATCGGTTTCAATAAAGGCACAAGGCGACATTTGTTTTCGGAGAGGTAAATAATCGGGGACTCGCGTTCCAGTTGCAAACTAATTCAATAAGATTCCACCGCGCTCTAAAGTTTTCTTATTTCATTATATGGCCTGAGACAAGAGAATTATAGCGACTATATAAAAATCTTTATTAAGCCATCTTCTCATAGTGGGTGCATCTTTTTATCATCTTTTTTTCATCACTTTTTATCATCGGCATCTTTTTATATTTAAAAGATAAAAATACTTAATTGTTAAAAATGTTATAGCGACTACATAAAAATCTTTATAGCCATCTTCTCATAGTGAGAGGGCATCTTTTTATCATCTTTTTTTCATCACTTTTTATCATCAGCATCTTTTTATATTTAAAAGATAAAAATACTTAATTGTATTTCCTTTTTCAACTAGGAAACTTTTTTTTCACATAAGCTGAAGCATCTTCATGAATCTGTCTCGTTATTTTAAAGTGGTTGATTTTAGGATTATCTTTTATATGCTTTTAAAAAAAATGTAAAACTCTATCATTACGTAAAAAACTTATCATCACGGACATAGGTCGTATTCACCAATACGCAGAGGCACTTTGCTAAGTTTTTATTACCTAAAATAGTTTATAGTGACGGTAATAAATATTGGTTGCTTGTTCTTAATGGTGACCCCGTTGGTCACCGTTAAGAACAAGCTTGTAATCAAGGTATTATGTGCACATGCAACTCAAGTTTTAATTCTTTATATAATTTGTTCTACTTCTATAGACCCTTATAATCATAACTATTTATATATAGTACGAAATGGGAATCTATTGTGCTACGTAATGTCACACATTTATATTAATTTCATTTTCAATACTTTACATTGTATCGGTCAATATCTTCATATGATTTTTAAATTCTATCATCGGTCTGAAATAATTTTTAAGCAAAGCATCACTATCTTTGCGATATACATAATAGTGCGATAGCTTCTCAAACATAATCCATTACGTGTGAACGAATACACAAACAAATTTCGCCTCCTTATATCGTTAAAGATACATTTTAATGCGTTTTAACATCCCATTTTGGTACTTAGAATCTCTATCGGTGCGTCATAGCGCCACTTATCACATTGAAACGATAGTTATAACGTTTTCGTTTTGTTGTTGTTTTCGTTTTTCGTTAACGCTTTACCCTTCAAGATATAGGTTGGTTGCTGCTTGAAATCATTTCTCGCACGGGTTCGCATGACTCGTGCGAGACCGCCGCCGGCCGCGTGTAAGCTCTTACAAATGTAATGGAAGGCGGCGACCCGTCGCCCCCGTGGCACTTATCTAAATGTGTCAGATAGTTAGCGGGCCGAGGCGGCCCGTGTGGCGCGACGTTATCTGCGAACGTATTGCGCATATTATACCCGACAGGGGCGACGCCACGTGCAAACTGGGCCTCCCGCCACTAATGGAGGGCACGGTACAGGGTACTGAGTTTGACGTATGCTTGTACGGTATACTTTCGGGCCAATCGTCATATACAATGATAAAAACTATGCGATATATACAAAAATATGCGTCATTATGATTCTATTGATGTTTGTAGATATTTTAATTAAGTTCACTGTATCTTAGATAAATCCTGGTGTTAAGAAAGATACTCCGTACCGCCAGGAAAACACTTAAAAAATTGTGTCATTTATTTTTTTTTCAATGAACTAAAAATAATATTATTCAACCAGGAAAACATGATCAGTATAAATTTGAATTTGGTAGCTAAAATAGATTTTCCAATGGGTAGTAAACGAAGAAAAAAGTTCCATGAATTTGTCCAAGATTTTGTCTGGTATTTATGAATAATGTAAAATTTAATAAATAATTCGTTAATGTTATGAATTTGCTGCATATCGGACAGCAATTTGATTGGTGCGCTAGCGAAATCTTTCCTGAATTTATTGCGACTTTTCTATGAACAACACACACAGTTTAACAGAAGAATGATACTCGAATTACAGCCGACAATCGGGCGTGGTTTCTTCTGTGCGCGCGCAATCAGCGGAATATATTGGCATCTACCACAACGTGTTAGGTCTCGATTGAGGACCATTAACGCATCGTTGTTATATTAACAAAACGAGGCGTTTTCCTTACGAGCCGTTGCATTACCTACGGAAAGTGAGTTACTAGCGTACTACCTTTAATCTACAAGTCGTTATGAATGTTACGAAGTTATGCAACCGACGGCCGTTCGTAGAATAAAGGAACCGGACATACTATGTTTACTCAACCGCCATTTGTGAGCACTTTCGCGTGCAATTTTATCGTGATGTTGGTCTTTTCATTATAATTCATTTTTATACACTAAGTTAATTTAACGCAAATAAAGGATAGTAACAAAGCATCGGTTAAGAAGGAAACTTAATATTTATACTTAATTTATTTCTATTCAATTGTCATGAATGACTTTTATTTTTGGAATGAGTCTATAACAAGTTGGAATATAGATCGAAGATAACTTTTTCTTTTAAAAAACCATTGCCCTTACTTTAGAATAACATTTTCCTGTGTTGTACGAATGTATTACAAACATAAATTTCACATAGACAAACACCCAGATGCGAAACAACTATCTATGGGTCAGACAAATTGTTGTCCCGTGTGGGAATCGAACCCACGACCCCCGACGCCGAAGTCAATAATATCTTGGCAAGTGCGCCACGGAGTCATCACCTGTGTTGTCATAAACCGACTAAATTGTATATCAGCAATTGTATATCAGCTCGTTTTTAGTATATCACACATACTAATAGTATCCTTAATTCCTTACTAATATATTTAACGCTAAAGTTTGTATGTATGGATGGATGTATGTTACTCTTTCACGCAAATACTGCTGAATGGATTTTAATGAAACTTTGCAATAATATAGCTTATATATTAGAATAAGACATAGGCTATAATTTATATACATATTTTATGTATATAAATTTCTGCCTGAACGCCTTCAGCCTATTCTACGCAGATGTAGTCGCGGGCAGCAGCTAGTCATACATTAGAGAAAAATCACATACGAACCTTTCACGTAAAGCGAGGTGGGCTTGGAGAACTCCGTGCCAATCGCATTTTCCGCTACACACTCGAATTTGCCCTGATCCTCTTCCTCACTCTTCACAATTTGTAGCGTACCTGAAATCAAGGGAGGTAGATTAGTGAGGCAAACAATTATGATGTCATCCCTACAAGTATATAATACACACCCCTACAAAGGCATAATGCAAACTCTATGGTTTTGTATTAATTTATATATTATACTATATTGCAATTCCACTAAAAGTTGGAATAGTAATCATAGTACAATGTAATATATTGGCGGCCCGCCCCGACTTCACACGGGTGCAATGTATTATACATATAAACCTTCCTCTTGAATAACTCTATGTAAAAAAATGATCTAAGTATACATAGGGACAGGCAGACAGCGGGACAACTTTGTTTTATATTATGTTGTGATGGTAATATTTTACAAAACCATAGGGTTATATTAGGGAGTAGTTTTAGATTTGATTTGCTGAATCATCCTAGCATTCGAGAATGTCGTTTTAATCTTCATTGGAAGCAAATCTGCATGGGTAATTTAATAGCTAAATAGGGGTACTATTATTTCATCTATATTAAGAGTTGCTCTTTGACGAAATACAAAAGTCGGAAGCAATGTCCAAAAATCTCGAGAATGTCAGACAAGCAGTAAAAACATCACTCGTTACATCGTTGTGCTATACTATGTGATCGATTAAAAATTAAAGTTGCTTGCCTATTATTTAGACATACCAAATGTAAATACTATGTATGTTAAAGCTGTTACTTTATGCATAAAACGCGACATTCATTTTCCTACTTAATTTATTGCGAAAAGGGCAGGTGACGACTTTAAATTCTATTTTTCTATTATGAAGTTTGTTTAGTTCAGTGGAAGTCGGTTGGTAATTTTTTTCAACACACGTACACACCAATTGTTACAATGGAATACACTCTATGTTACTTCTAAACTCTGGATTTTTCAGTACGTCAGTTAAATTACGGTTATTTTAAAAAATGAACATGACACATCGCCAAATTATGCAGAAGTAGACATTTACGTCTTCCGTTGATGACTCGGGTGGCGGAGTAATGTAAGCGTTAGACATGTTTTGGATGTCATACATTAAAATATATTGCACTTGGATGTCTGTTGATGTAAGTGTCCTTGTGCAATTTTTGTTGTAAAGACCTTTATAAAAAAGCATTATCTTTACCTGCTGTAGGTCACGTTTTAAAAAAATAAACGTAAGCCATGACAAACCATTCCTTCCCAATACAGAATAGAACGTTTCACATAAATTTTGACACCTGGGCTTGAGATAATGGATAAACTTGTCTTTTAAGACAGTTAAATCAGAAACAATTTACATTCGCGGTTGTTAATTATGAATAGACACTAAGATATTAGATTTCATCGTAATTGAAATTTAATTTAAAGTTTGCTTACCGAACAGCGTGTTAATTAGTTATTCGACGAAAGTTAAATAATTAGAAAGCTTCCAAGAGTTCATTACAATATCAAAAATTTACGGGTTAATGAATTTTGTTATTGTTAATTAAAGATCTACAACGGTTCGAAGCCAAGCATTTGTCAAGGTAAATTATTTACCCACAGTACCTTTCACCTAAAGCCTTAATATGTGAATGGTTTAGTACGGTCAGGTGTCGTCAAATCAAAAATTTGTTATTACTGTGCATAGTCCCTTTTTCCGTGAAGAAGCACCATAAAAATATAGTAACCTTCGTAAGAATTCCAGCAACCGAACGTTTTTATTAGGTCATGTGATAAAAATTGTTGTGCTTAGACAGCACATATAACTAAATACCTTAATGTGACATTTGGTGAGAGCATCGATAAGCATCGAGCACTAATTTGAATTAACCAATACAAAAATGCAAAATTAACTTAACGCTGTCCTTGTGAATCGAACTGGCGATACAAAGTGCTTGTCGATGTTCGTGCCACTTAGTCAACCTGTTATGATATAGCGTTGGAGAGATTAAGAGATAGAGTAAGATAACAGAGAGAAAATATGCATTACACTATAAATAAAAATAAATATAAATATTTTAGGGCACTGTTTTACACAACGTTCTTTAGTCCCAAACTAAGTAACTCTTTCCTATGGGTACTAGATAAATCATAAATATACTTAAACATACTTTTCTTTTGTTAATAAGTACATATAAATATATAAACACCCAGCCACTGAAATGTTCATCACAATAAATTTACCACAAGTGGGGATCGAACCCACACCCTCTGGCGTAAGTCTACCCACTACGCTAATCAGGTCAAAAATCGACGCAAAAGGAGCTTATGGTCCTTTTACGTCGATTTTTATTCCGATCTACGCAAAAGGAGCCTAAAGTGGTTTCATTTAATATGTATAATATTCACGAAAAATCAAGAAATCAATATAGGAATGAAATGTTAAAATACCTTTCATCACTGATGTACAGCGGAAGGGATGCTATTGTTTGTATCCTTACAGGCTCTGTTAAAAGTAAATAACTTCTTCGTCCTTTTGTGTTAAGGGACACGAGAGGTTATTTATATTTATAAGAGAATACGTCTTTTAGGTCCCATTTATTCCAACAAGGCAATTTTCCTATCGTTTACAATGTTAAAATCTATCACGGTCTTTGATAACAAAATAAAGGTACATACGTACTACGCTTTTGTTTACTTTTTGCTAATCCCTCTGGGATTGTGAATAGCACTTCGAAGAAATATCACAAAAAGACGAATTCTTTCATATTCGAACTCGGATCCGTGCGTAGCCATTGAGAACGGTTTACGACGAAACAAAAACACGCACAACTAAATCCCGCACACCGCTCCGTCGGGATCGTTTGCGAATTTAATACCAACGGGGTTTTAACAGAAACAATTTCGGCCCTGTAAACATCGCTCCCCATCGCTCTCCCCCCCCACACACCCATTCAGGACCGGTTTTATTTGCGGCCGGCGAATATATAAAGATTTATGACTTAATAACATGCCCCTTGAGTGGGATCATTATGACACTACCCAGAGTCGGGATCAAGGCTGGACCTTTTGTAATACCTTCCCTGGGTATATTAAGGTTGTTAAGTTGAAATTTCCCCTGGAAATCTGTTAAGCGTCCACGCCTCATTGATTCATCCACTGCCCAGTAGATCACGGGAAATTTGCGACGAGTGGGGAAGGCCTAATGAAACGTTTTTCAAATGCTCTAGGGGTCGTCGAATCTAAATCATTACGTGACGCACCAAGCTACTAGAAATAACGGTTAGATATTATGATACCTTAATTCTTACTAATATACTAATGAAGGTTTTTGTAATCTGTAATATTTGTTTGAGAATGACAGTTAAAGAAAATTAATGAAAGACGTGCACTTGCAATTTAATTAAATGCGATGATAAGATAATTACTCACATACAAAATGCAAATAATTACTTTAAAAAACTTTTAAGTTAAACGGTTTTATTTTATGTTTTTTTTTTTTTAAATTTTTTTTTGTTAATATTGTATTGTCATCTAAATTAAATGTGTGTACCAAATTTCAGATCAATCTGACAACGGCAAGGTGCTTAAATTTCAATTTCTAATTTTGACCCAAATAAATAAACAAACAAATTCCGTACGGGTCGAGCTAAATAAAACCGTTTAAAAAGAGTCTTGTATGTGTATCCTACTGACTGATTACAAGCATTAACTCAATTACAAATGATAATATTTACGAGGGATGATCTGAAACGAAAACTTATCTGCCATAATCGCCAGGATTTAACCAAGATCTCGGAGTGTATTTACTGATGTCTCCTTTCAGTATTTTAAAAGTGATTATTAATGATAGTATTTTCAAAAATTTTATGACAATACTTTTTCGTAAAAAAAAATTAAATGAAATGAAACACACAAAAGCAAGTTATTAATAATTCAACATAATATCTTGTATCCGTAAAGTCGTGTTATGCTATAGACATGTATATATTTATCTGATCGATACGATACAATCATTCAACAATGCTGTGTTACTATTTCTTTACTTTGAAAACATGTCATTACCATCCAAAACGTGAACACATTTCTTCTGGATCGGAAACTATCCTTCGAGCCGGATTTACGTTTAGTTTTACGTTTAAATCTAGGAATCTTTTTAAAGAGGACGCAGACTTGTGTAAATACCGCGGCGCCGCGCGAGGTTTCAAAGGCGTAATTACGACGAAACGGCACGGGACCAGTCATGGCGATCGTCGTCTTTTTAGTTCTTTTTAAGCGTTACGTGAATTTATTTCATTTGGAATCACAATCTGGTTTAAATTCACGTCTGGTGGGACATGAAGGATATGAACGTGAGGCAAATGAACTAGTAAAATGCATTTTGTGCTTAACACGTTATAATCATTTGTTGTTTGACGCTTACTGCAAAAAGGTAAGTTCTGTTTTTTGCTTTTGTATTTCTAGTAAACTTAAATAAAATGTTAAAAAGCAAAAAAATAAGTTAAATATTGCGGTTCCCGTAATAATATGAACGTTTCTAATTTTTTTATAAACGCGGAAACTTGTAAACCTATTTATACTTACCTTTATGTACAAATAAATATTTCGGACACATTTCTTACACAACATTATCTAGTCCAAAACTAAGCAACGCTTGTACTATGGGTACTAGAAAACTGATAAACCTACTTAAACATACTTTTCTTTTGTAAACAAATACATATTGAATGAATGAATGAATGAATATTCTTTATTGCACACACCATGGTAAAAAGAATACATTAAAAATAACAATTATGTAAGGGTTGTACAATGGGCGGCCTTATTACTTAAAGCAATTTCTTCCAGGCAACCTTTGGATGGACATAATATGAAAAGAATATTTTATATTATACATGTATAAACACCCAGACACTGGAAAAACACGATGTTCATCACACAATATCTTTTTAATAGTGAGGATCGAACCCACACCCTCTGGCGCAGGAGGTCGGGTGACTACTCCCCACGCCATTCATGTCGTCGTATACAATTCTACTGCGCGTGTGTATGTGACTGAAATCCTCCTCCTGGAAAAAAATACATCAAAAACGGCTGGACCGATTTTGATGTATTT